ACACTACATCAAGACTTTGCACTCTCAACGAACGCAGGCCCCTGACTATGCCGCAACGTCGGTTGAGCTTTGGGGGACTTGGTCCCGTATTATGTTCCGAGTCCCCCAACTTGTTCAAAATGTAAGACTGTACTGCAATCACCCCAACTTGGAGGAACATAGTTTCCGACTGCAGTGCTGCCTGAAATCTGCTATGAGCACTGGCATGTCGTACCCAGCCTCGAAGAGCTTATTTTGATGTGCTACAGAGTCAACCCCGAGGCGTGTTCACGTGGTTGGCTGGTGCTGGTTTGTATACGTAGCAATTCCACAGTTTTGAAAACTCTCTACTAAGCCTGGAGCTTTAAACTGGAATCGGCAGAAAGCCTTGGCGAAGGTGCTCTTGCCCGTCTGTCGTGATGCCCACCGAGGGGACCTCGGACACTCAGTGTGGGAAGGGGGTGCTTTATATGCTAGTGAGAGACTGCATGCTTCAATGGGGGACTCCTTTGAGGATGGGTGGTGGGGCGGGGGGGGGGGGGGGGGGGTGTTTCATCAGGCCAAAAGCTCAAAAAGCTGCCAACAGATGCTGATTGGGCTTGCTTCAACTAACGTCGTCCGGTCCCAAGACCTGGAAACATGGGCTGCACCTTGGCCAACCCCCCGGCAGTTGCTTCCATGGCGTGCTGAAGCCAAGCTCAGGCCAGAATATGGCGAGCGGAATGTGGAGCAACTGTACACACTTGTGTATGAAGAGGCGAAGCAACAAGCCTGTGCAAAGGAGAGTCAAAACTTATCAGATAAAACCATTTCCGACAGTATGTAAATATATGTAGTATAAATTCAACTCTGCGATAGCGCTTTGAAGGGCGGTCTTTCCTCACAGAACCTGAAGGGGGCGGGCGAATGTCTGACACAGGTTCGTCGTATAGTATGCAATGTCAGCTTACTGCAAAGCCTCGGCTGCAAAACATGTCATGTTCTTTCATTAGGGGCCCGTCACAACCCGCTTAGGCCCACTGGAGAAAATCCTCAAAGGTTGTGGGATAGAACATCATAACTCACAACAAAAATACAGACCATGACAGACCCCATAACCCTGAGCCTCCTGCCGAGGTTGCATCCTGCTCACGGGCACGCCTGTGCCGTGGTCTCAGCAAAGAGTTCACGTTCACCACCGGTTCCGGTGCTCAGGAATTGGGGATCATAGGGTTTGGGCTTCAGGGACTCCTGGGTCACACGCATTAGGCTTCCGGTTGGGGTCTTTCGGATGTCGGATTCACCTAAAGGCTTCTAAGTTAGGGCTTTTGGCAGGGATACATCATTCTAGAACAGCCCCAACCCAGGCTTCAGAAAAGTCGTGGCACGTAGAGTGACGGCTTTAGAGTTGTACTGTGGGGGCTCTCATATAGTTCAGAAATTACAGGCCCAGCTAGGGGTTTACATGTTTCGAGATGGTTGCAGGCGTGTGTGTGGCTTTCGGGTTTCATTTGTTTTTTGAATTATTTTTCGAAGGATCACTATTGCCGGCAGTGGACGACCTGCCTTGCTGGGCTTTGAGGCATGGCTTTCGAGATTCAGGCGGGGATAGTAGCCCGATGCGTCTGACTTTGTAATCCTTGAGTCGCAAATTTTACCAACTCTAAACCCTGAAACTCGAGAAAAACGCTCAATTCCGCAAGTACACATAACCTTTCGGAGGCTGAACCATGCAGGCGAAACTTGGACACTCATGTCAGCGCCGGCACGCCCTGTTTGCCTGGTTTGGGGTTCAGGGGTTCAGGGGTTTGGGATGTGCCCCAGACGCTCGTAAAGCTCCGTTCCGGCAAAAGCAGTGTGATTGTTGAAGGAGTTTCCTTATGTAAGGAACCGACTGCGGACGATACCGCGATAGACCCGAGACAGTAAATAGCAGTATCCTTTTTGTAAGGACCCCTACAAAAGCTGAACCCCAATGTAAAGACCCACCCCCAAGCCTGGAGCCACTGTGCGCCCGGGCCCTGGGCACTTTGGCATGTTTGAGGTTTCATATAGGGGCCTTCACAATTAGAGTAGGGTTTTGGGGGGTATATTATACTATAGTTAGAATAAGGAGCCCCCAAAATAGTATGTTGTAATTATTCAGGCCCCTACATGAAGCCGTTTGGACCGTCGGGATGTAGGGATTAGGCAGTAGGCTTTTCGGGAAGCCATGCAGCCTTCTGATCCCGAAGCACCGCTTTGCACACAAACCTCAGCGCTGGACGTGTAATGTAGGGGCCTTAATAACTAGAATAGGGTTTTGGGGGTTTTTATACTATAATTAAGTATAATAGGGAGCCCCCAAAATAGGATCGTCAGCTTTCCAGTCTCAAGCTCAAACCCATGACTCTTCGCCTTGCACCATTTACACCCTCAACCCCAAACCCACGCTCACTTCCAAAACATATGCATGAAAACCCCGCGCCAGGCTGGACCCTACGCTTCCTCCATTCGAAAGTTTCTGTCGGGAGCTGAGCCACTGTGCATTTCGGAGACAGGCTTTTGTCAAGATGTTGTTTTGGTTGCAGAAAGGTGTGTGGCTTGGGCTTTCACGTGCGGGGTTCAGCACGCCAAGATACAGGCATGCGAGGTTTCCAGGGCTTCTCATGTTGGGACTCAGGGTTTCGGATCGGGAGAGTAGGGTGCTGTATTGGGCTCTAGAGGCTGAGGGAGCCCTTGCGCAAAGATCGAGGTGCTAGTAGGGTTTAGCATGAACAGTTCAGGGTTTGGGTCTTGCGCCCAGAGTGGGCTGGCAACCCCATTGCAACCAATTGCAACCCGGCTCACCCTTTTGACAGTATAAATCCTTGCCAGCAACACCCGTGATCTCCCAAAGGAGCATTGAAGGTTCATCCTGCACATTTCCACACATCCAGGCCGCTCAATCGTCCCACACACGTCCCCAAATCCATAGAATGCGCCCGACCCTATCAGCGTTCGAAAAGCGTTGCAAGGTCGCCCTCCATTAATCACTATCATCGTCCTTACACTTGCTAAACCATCACCCGCACCTTTCTATTGGCTTGCTTTTTGAGGTCCGTGTGGGAAGTGCTGAATGAAAGTCAGGGATCCTTTTGAAACTTGTCACTATGAGACTGGTGTGCACTCTTCCGGGCACCGAAAGACTGGCCCTCGATGAGGAACCACGAACGAGGGAGTTTCAGAACATTTGCAACCCAATAGATATGTACATATGTGCATATGTTATGGAACCCTTCATGTTAGTTTCGTTGAGGTTCGGTGAGGTGAAACCTTGGGACCGAAGCTCTTCAGGGCTGAAAGCTCAGGGCTTAGTGCTTTTGGGCTTTATCGAACTCGAAGTGCTCTTGCGCGTTTGTGTGTCCATGTGTGTGCTAGAGGCTGCGGGTTTGGGTGTGTAGGGGTCTAGGGGGCAGCGCTTGGTCCGGAGGCCAGCGATATTGCAAGTTCAAGCGTCAAGTGGGGGACGACGGAGCCTTGGATCATCAGTGAGCAGGAGGCCCGAATCCCGCGACCCCAACACCCCAAAATCCGGTTTAGTGGTTTCTGCCTCATGGTTATCTTTGGGTGATTTCAACGATCCGCCCGGTCCAGAACAAGCCAGAACTGGCCTCCAGCGCTTGCCTCATGCTCTTTGCCTCCTAGAGCCTGCTAGAGTGGGTAGCGTCCATAAGTCTTAAAGCAGGAGCTTTGAGGTTTTAGGTTTGAGGCTTGGGGCTTCACGGTCGGGCTGCTGGTTCGGTGTGGATTTGGCCTTTGTTGTGGTTGGAGGAACCCAGTATGCTGAGATCCTTACTAAGGGACCCCTTCAATAAGGCACCTCAACTTTTCTGACAGAACCTGAACGGATTAGTTAGTTTTCCTTTGTGCAAGTTTTACTCAGAGTCTCACAGTGCGGCTGTAGGCTTCAAACTGAGTCTGTATTTAGTGCGGGGTCTGCTGTGTCTCAGCAACTCGTAGCCGTCCACGTCCAACATCCATTCGTTCGACGTCGTCACGCTTCTTGCCGAAGCCCAGGAATCGAGACATGGGTGCCCTATGGTGTCGAGCATTGCCCTTAGAGTTGGGGAGTTTTGGTTTAGCTTTTTTGGAAGAGGGAAGGGCTGCAGATTCTGATCCGTTGCTTGGAGCTGTTGAGTCAATCGCTTTGGGCCGAAGCGCTCAGAACCAATCTGGATTTGTGGTACAAATTCAAGTGAGAGGATTGAGGATTAAGGCTCTGAGGACTCTGACGACATTGAGATTTCGAGGTATGTTGTACTGATGCAGGGTATGCCTGCATACAGCGTCAGCTGGCGCATGCACCGTACGATCTTCATTGCAGAAATTGCTGCAGGAGTTGCATATTTCTGCGCCTGTTTATCTTTTCGTTGGTGCGCGCCTTGCTTTCGTTTGCTGTCTTCTTATTGTTGCAATGCCGTGGACATCAAAACGCCTGGCCGCCCTTCGCTAGCGAGTGCTCGGGCCAACCCTCATCACGCATGCTCTCGTGTTTGTTTGCAAATTGGTGGCTTGGCAAATCCCTCCGTGTGCATTTCCCGCGCAGAAGTTCCCGTCCGTTCCAATACTGAACGTCAGCTGTGTTCTATTGAAGTTGGGGAGCCGGCTCCGAAACTGGCGCGAGTTGCGAGAGTCGCTGCTTCTACTTTGGACGGCGCTGGCACCTGTGATTTGGGTGGAGCAACTTCACTTCGCCGAATTGAGGATGCTGACAGGGAGAAAATTTGTAAGGCCTGGGCCATTGTTGTTCGAGGTTGTTTGCAGTGGAGTTCCTTTGGCCTTGCGGACGTCGTTAAGGAGATCCACTTAGAGCGGCTGTTTGAAGACAGGGCTGTGTCCACACTTCAGAAACATCTTAGTGGATGGCGACGGTGGATGGAGTTTTGTCTCCCGCTGGGATGGTCAGTGGGAGCTCCTAGTACCTAGTCTTGCTAGGTCCTCGACTTCGTCGAAGCTCTGGCCAGTGGTGCTTATATGGACGGGGCAAAGCATACGCGTGAAGCCATCCCGCTTGCCTCCAGATGGTCAAGAATTTGGAGGAAGCTTGCTCTTCTGCTGCGGAGGATGGTTTATGGCTAATTTTATGCTCTCTTCTCATGATGTTTGGTAGTTTGCGTTGGAATGATGCTCTGCAGGAATGCCTTGGGGCATTGTTTGCGAAGGTGTCTGTGGTGGCAAGTGGGCGCATACGTTCCTTTCGTGAGCTGTCGCGTTTGACTTTGTCTCCGTCCAGGGACTTCTTGATTGGTCGATCTGGAAGTCCTATTGGCTATTCAATTGCTCTTGCAAACTTCATACGTTGTTTGGTCAAGTGTTGCGGTCTCACCTTGGCTGCAGCTGGCCTTTCCTTTAACGGAATAGAGATTGGGGAAGCGATTGGGTTGCGCCCCTTTCTTGTGTGTTGAAAAGAGGTGTGCAGTGTGAGAGACGATTCCTAAACTTCCCATGTGAAATGCATGAAAGTCAGCACATCCATGAGCGATTTCCAGATGCTGCATGGAACAGGTATCTGAAGCCGCAACGCGGCCAAAGCGCCCCAAAACTAGAGCCGAGGCGCTCCGAGGAGCTGCACGGGGTCTTCCACTCCTTCACCGTGCGGCAGAAGAAGTCGGACTGCTGGGAGTTGAGATAAGGTGAGGCTTTTGGCTTCTTGGGTTCAGAGCTCAGGGACTTCTTGTAAAACGGCCGCGCAGATGGCACCACAAGTAGCGTCTATAGCTCTCTTTGGCTTTCGGCCGCCGCTAGTATGAGATAATATAAAGATATTTAATATGTGTATATCACTAACTAATATGTACCACTGCTACTGCTACTGCTACTGCTGCTACTGCTACCACCACCAC